TTCTGTTGAAGAGATTCATTGATAATTAATTTCTTTGAGATGGCAGTGAATCTTCCTACTGTTATGCTGAGTAAAGCAGAAAAAAATAAATATGACTACGTTTACATAAGTTGTACTTAATATCAACATAATAATTAGAAGAAAACTATAACGAAAAAATATTGAAATATTTTTAAAATTAACTAATTTACCCTACTAAAAATCCCCGTACCAGATCTTGTACATTTTCCTGTACAAGTTTAGTATTAGAACTCGTACCATTTCTGTCAAAGAAAATGTTTCTGTTAAATAAATAAATAAATATAAAGAATATATTTATTTTAATATTTATTTATTGGTTTATACAACCGTCTTAAGGTTATCTAGCTATACAAGTGTGTTTACATTTTCTCTTACATAATATTTCTTATATACATTTTCCTAATACTAAGTTTTGCGCCTACAGAGCGACTTGAAAATTAGGAGTACTCGCATTTGCCTGGACCACCCGTCTAATGGGTTTTCTCGCCAGTGGAGAGGGAAACTGTAGAAAACCTCTCCTGAGTACAACCGGTTTATCGACAGTCGAGTTCTAATGGTGTGTACCGGACAATAATCGACGGTGCACATCATTATACCTCGACGTCAAACCTCCCGCTCAGATTGTCTCACGTGCCGGAAAAATACCAAGCCAAATGGGCGCGAACCAAGGGTACTATACCCTTGGTCCTTAAACGACCGCCAAGCGAGGCATCTATCCGACTGAGCTAATCTGTCGGTCTTTACCAAGAATATAAAGAAACTCGAGAGTTCATCGTTCCCCAGCATAAATCCGTTCCTGCTTTCTTTCCCATTCCCAGCCGCGAGAAGCCAGAATCGAGTCGTCAGTTGAATTTCAATGCACCGATCGGTCGCAACACAGCTTCACATTTTTAATGATAGATCGATGACGGATTAACATTTTTTAATTTTCGAATGCTTATTTTAAATCTGAAATTCTAACGAAGTTTTCTGCGTTTTTTAAAAAAATTTATCTTAATTTTTTTAGATTTTTGAAAAAGTTGAAGTCAAGATACCAAAATGAGAAAATTTGATATTTTTTTTATTTCTTCCTTACTCTACAACTCCAAAAATAGTTAACGAAATGACTTGAAAGACGGTTTATTTTACGCAAAATTTAATAAGCTTTCTAACTGTTTTTAAGTTTTTTTGTATCTTCTTTTATTGCCGAGATATGATTTAAAAAGTGATGGCATGTTTTTTCATAGAGTCGCGTGTAATCGTTTTAATACTCGTGGACGGTATTATAGGTTCAGTTTGGGGAAATGCACACAAGGTGTTAATACAAAGTATTATATGGGCATTCCACGTGAGATTTAAGTCGACCTCTTAAAATCGGCCAAAAATATTTTTTTCTCTTCTGTATCGAAAAAAAACAGATACGTGTTTTTTTTATTTCTGTTTAATTGTCCAAATTTTCGAGTTATGAATTTTCGAAATTTTGGACTTTTATTTGTAGACCTATATTCAGTAGCTTATAAGTCCGAAAATATTGAGTTTAGGAAAAAGTTGTCACAGAATGAAAGTAATAGTTTTCTTTCGACTTTTAAGAAATGTAAACTACCCGTGTAGAAATTACCCTACTAGGGCCATAGTAAGGAATGAAACGCCGCGCCCGATCAGGGCCAGATCGGGGCGACAAGAAAATGTGGATTTCCTGATCAGGGCCACATCGGGCGCGGCGTTTCATTCCCTAATAGGTCGGCCCTATCCGGCCCTGATCAGGGCCCCAGCGAAATTTCTACACGGGTAAACATTTTTTTTTAATTTTGTATTAAAAAAATTTTTTTTATAAACAAATTAATTTTTTTAGCTTTGGGCCGGATTTTGTTTCAATTTTTTAAAATTTATCTATACCTTATAGTATAGAGAAGATTTTCTAAAAAGTCCCGAAATGGCGAAGCCCCCCGACCACAAAAAAACCAACTTTAAAGAATAATAATAATTTTTGACATTTCAAAGAACCGCATTTAATAATACCCCAAGCCACCGGACGCGTCATTTGATTATAAACCTGGCCGTGTGCTTCGACGTATTAATAAAAATAATATCATTAAAGAACAAAAACAGAATTTTTCACACGAGCGATCGCGAATCTTAGGTTAGGTTAATTGACAGTAGAGTTGGTTGCCAGGGACCCGCACCAAGCGCGAATGCGCATGCGCATGCATTTGGTGAGAGTCCCTGGGAACTGTGCGTCTGACAGCATCTAGTTACATTATATCCAACTGTTGTACAGAAATAGTAACATTATAAACCGGTTATATTGGGTCTATAATGTAACTAACACGAAATAAAGTGTACTCCCCTCCAGCATTATTCGCACCGGGCTATAATAAGTAACTTACAATCTGGAAAACAGGTGGCGTAAAGTGCGTATTACAGTGCTGTGTTGCATAAATGTCATTTAATATTATTCTTATTTAACATAAGTTTCATTTTACATAAAGTTCATTTGACATAAAAGACATTTAACATAATTCTCATTTGACATAAAAATCATTTTACACAAATTACATTTGACATAAAAATATCGGCGCAAATTTTAAAAGTAACCAATTAGATATTATCAACAACATTGTGATTCGAGAATTTTGAAATTCGCGCCTACATTTTCATTTCAAATGAACTTTATGTAAAATGAAATCTATGACAACTGAATTTTATGTTAAATGAGAATTATGTGTAATGACTTATTTGTCAAATGAAATTTATATCAAGTGAACTTTATGTCAAATGAGAATTATGTTAAATGGGATTTATACCAAATGAAATTTATGTCAAGTAAATTTTATATCAAATGAGAATTATGTTAAATGGCATTTATGCCAACTGAAATTTATATCAATTTAATTTTATGTTAAATAATAATTACGTTAAATGATATTTATACGTCAAATGAAATTTGTGTCAAGCTAATTTTATGTCTAATGATATTTATGTCAAATGGATTTTGTGTCAAATGAGAGTTACATTAAAAATGAAATTTATGCCAAATTAAATTGATGTCAAATGAATTTTATAACAAATAAAAATTACGTTATTGAATTTTATGTCAATGAAATTTATGTTAAATGATTTTTATGTCAAACGAAATTTATGTTACATAATTTTTATGTTGTTACGACATGAGATATCGTGAAAAAGATAAAAATTTATATTAAAAATACTATGTTGTAAAGAGTTTAATAAATTTAATTATTATTGAACTAGATTTCTTGTTAAGAGAAAATTCACAACACATGAGATAAAAAAGCAATTTTCTATTTAAAACTGAATTTAAATAAATTGAAAAATTGTATGTATAATCTATAATCTCGAGCGGCAAAAATTATAGATCGTGGTATCTTGTTTAGTTTTAAGAGTTAAAACTCACCTTATTGTTATTAAGGAATTAGGAAGGAAAGAAAAGAATGATATATATAGAGTTATAAATTTTTTGTTTATTAACAACTTACTAAGATTTCATTCCTCGATTTTATATCCAAATTTTGTACATTTTACACATTTCACACATAGTCAATAATATCGACGATTATTTCGTTGATGTAGATATTTAATAATATTGATGTTTGATAGTTTCACAAGTAATAATTCGTATATCGTTGAGAGTAAAATTTATTTAATTTATCGGGTATTCCGGAAATTTACTTGGATTCCGAACTCGGCAAAACTTAACTCGAGGATTTACACGGTTAAAAAGAATTCGCGTTTTCAGTCGCGGAGACTGCGAAAGCTTAATGTTGAACCTCAAGAGTTTCAGATTAAGAAGGGAACCAAACCAAAATTCGCGGAAGAAGCCCGAAAAGGAACTAAAGTGTTAAGGGTAAAAAGACGCTCTCGTTACCCAAGCCATTTCCTCCCACTCTCAAGAAAAACGTGCAAAAATTCCAAGTAGGGGAAAATTTGGGAAAACTAGGTGTTTGATTGGATTTGGAGGAAAGTAGGCAAAAAATAGTTAACGCCCTAGACTAAAAAACCCATGAGTCATAGACCAGCGGTCCAGGTACCGACTGGGTTAAGTGCAATAAAACATTTGGCAAACAGCCGTTTTTCGAACGTGCGTAGCTGAATTTTGTCAGGATTAGCTGATTGCTACTTTATTGCAGGGTTCGACAGCAACTTAATTATGTATCGGACTCTAAAAAGTAATAAAGTTTTTATAATGTACTTTTCCTTTGGGTCCTATCTTTGCACATGTGGTACCACTAAGAGTAAACTTTGTGTATTCAGAGATACGGTTTATTTTTGGGGTTTCTAGGCACATTGCTATTGAAAGCCGTTTTAAAGTTTTTTTTATGTATTATGTAGGTAAATTTTTGGGAAATGAGAAACTTTCGCACGCCTCCCCCAAGAACAAGAACAAAAGCCTGAGGAACCAGATGTAATTTTATTTCCCTTTTCCTTCTTAATATCGTGAGAAAATGAGAAAACAAAAAGTTCATGTAAAAGTTATTAATAATATAAATGTTAATATATAATTAATTAATTGTATAATTAGTATTTTAATAATATAGAAAATTATTAATATAAAAGATTCGGATAAGATCGATTTTAAACAATATAAATTGGCAGACAATTAACAATAATTAGACATTCACACCATTATAGAGACTAACTTAAATTAAATTTGCATTCTGCATCCCTCATCCTAAGACAAAAGCTAAGTCAATGTGACATTATGATCGACACAGGCAATATATTGTCTATAGATGTTCACTAGAGAAAAACAAATAATGAGTTGCCTTTTGACAATTTTTGTTTATCTTGAAGAAAAGTAACACCGAGATCAAGTGCATTCTCTCGTGTAAACATATTGGAACATGAAACGGAAAATATTCTTAAAATTATATCCAGTTTTATAATTTAGAAATATTTTTATTCTAATATTTTTTATTTAAGGGAAGGGTACACCGATATTATTAATTATATCAATTACAAACATAATTTCTCTTTTACAGCGCTACTTTTTGGCGGCGAATTAAATGGACATAACAGACATGTAGGTTGTATAGATCCATTATGCGACGTTATAGGCGTCGTAAAGGACGCATACGAAAACGCACGATTTTTATGTGATAGATATTATCTAGCTAGTCCAGAGCTGATAGTCAAACAACATAATGGTAAGTTTCAAAATATTTATACTAATTTTTTTTAATAAGCTAAGGTAGACATGATTTTTAAAATAAGGTTTAGATAATTCTTTTTTGAAAGCTTTTGACTTTCTGAATCTGACCTTAGTTATAACTTATAAAAAATATTTACATCCAACTTATGACATGAATAAGTTTTGCGATTTAAGTGACGCATAAAATCTTGGCTAGTCAAAATAGGAACACAACTAACAAGTTAGCTGTGACATCAAACAGGTTCGCTATGACAGCGCAGAACTATAGTAGCTAATTTTGAGATATGACAGCAAGCATCAGTTGAAAGCATTTTATTTTTTTTGTGTAAAAAACCACGACTTAAGGTACACTCTCACCTCACTGCCTGCCTGCCTGTGCAGGCAGGCGCCATAAGAGTGAGAGAGAAAAAACATTTAATTTGAATTTTTTGACTCTCTTACTCTTATGTGTTACCATGTCAACCTGCAGGCAGGCAGGCAGTAGGAGCTGTGCTAGCGCCTTTAGACACACAAAGAATCTTTTTGCCTAGAGACTAAATATATACTTTCTCTATTTTACGCTCACAATTATTTTATTAATTATTAATTATTACTATTTGTCCTTCGAGGCTTCGGATAATAATCTCTTTTCTTCATACACAACTTTAATATAATAATTATAATTTAGGTAGGTATAGTAATAATTTATGTACTAACACTTGAAATGCAATATTCAACTAAAAGAATTGTCAAAATTTGCATAAAAAGTAAAAAAAATATGCATTATTGTTAAGCGGACCCGCACCCGAATAGGAAAAAAGTCTCTTATATAAGTATAATAGTCTCTTATCTAAGTCTTAATCAGTTTCATTTTAATTTGCAGTCGTATGATATTGTGACCGTAGAGAATAATTGTAGAATTATATTACATTATAACATTATTGGTAATGTTTGGTGGAATAACAACTGCATCGACGTGATTATCATTATGATTATTATTAACATTTACTCTGTTAATAATATTTGGTTGAGGAGGAAGAGGTAGAGCAGGAATCACATTGACAGCTACATCATTTCTTCTCTCAGGCGCTTGTACAACATAATTGTTAATGTTTGGTGAAATAACAACATTTTCATTTTAATATTGATTTCAAAAATACATAGCCGCTTTTATGGACGATATATTGACAGATCGAAGACTGAATTCTTCCAAAGTGATATCGTCATTGTTCAAATTTTTCCACAATATTTGTAACTCGGTTTTATTTTCTCTATTCTACAATTTAACATTATTTTTGATTCCTCCTCAAACTTATGTGAGCCGTTTTAATTTTATTAAAGTAAGCTCACAAGTTACGCGGAATGGTCCACGTTAATGGAAAGTTTCCAATTTTTGCCTTTAATTGGTTATTGTACAATTCGAAAACGCTGGATGTGCGATCAAAATCTTCCATGACGCTCATCTTCTCTGACGTAACATTTGTGAGCCAATAATTTCTAAACTGTTGTATTAATTCTTTGCGACGACCAATTGCATTAGGTGACAATTCATTAAGTATATTGTCAAAAACAAATTGAATTAAACCATCATAGTGCCATCATTTTTAAACACAGTTTTTTATACTCGTTATTGTATTCAATTCTTACTTCATTAATGTTGTGTTCAACAAACATTTCATATATGTTCTTTTGGTAATAAAAAAGGCTAATCTCAATTTTTGCTTCTGGAAATTGATGAATGATTGCTGATTTTAAATTATGATTTTCATCCATTATTACTGTTTCCATTTTAAATGTTCGAACGAGATGTTTTAATTTTCCTATTACCACATTGTAATATTCCTGGCTTCCTCTTCCAATCATGGTCAATCCACACGGTATTACATGGTTATTGAAGACTGTCAGGAATGACATGAATTCCTCACACATTCCTCCATGAGGAACACAATTTCTCGATATATGTATTAATATTGTTTCTGAATTTAATACATTTTCATCAAACTGAACGTCAAGAATAACAACAGCAGCTGAATTATTGTCTAAATCTAAGACAAAGGAGTAATTTAAAGTTCCTAATTTATGAGATGTGAGAAATCTCCAATTTTTATTATTAATAATATTTGCGAAATCATTTATGTTCTCTCTCTTGTACGGTAGCGTTTTCAATCTCAAACGAACTTTATACTTATAATGAAGAAAATAATGTTAGATTTTTTAAATTTTGTGAATTGCGTCCGAAGAATAGTATCTTTGCTGGTGCACATGATCAGTCAATTTTATTAATTTTAAACTTATAATGAAGAAAATAATGTTAGATTTTTTAAATTTTGTGAATTGCGTCCGAAGAATAGTATCCTTGCTGGTGCACATGATCAGTCAATTTTATTAATTTTTAGAAAAAACTCGCATCATTGAAAATGCGATAACCCTATTCGACGCCAAATATTATCCATATTTTAGACCCAACGCCACAATATTGACAAATATTATTTGACAAAAATTAAGGTCCTTGAAAACATTCGAAAATAAATAATTATATAAATTTGGTAAACCTTACCAGAAGCTTAGAACAACCGACGCTGCACAGGCATTTCTTTTCAATAATGATCAGTGCACTGTACATATGATCGTATATTTTCACGTCCTAATAACAAAATAAAATATCAAAATATTTTTAATTTATCTGAGTGTCTCAGTCATGACACTGCAGTAGTGTATATTAGTAAAAAATCGTAATGAAAGCTTTGAAAGAAAGACTAAGTCTTAAAAAAATAATGGTGATAAAGTAATCATTACAGTGATAGAGCGAAACAGCATTACAAGATCCGTTTCAATATGTTTAATTTATTGTATCATGAGGATGGTTTTTCAATTCTGTAGAATGTAATTACCATGCAGCTGCTCGTGGAAAAGTAGCTAGTGATGGCACAGACGGTGCCATGAAAAAAAGTTGTCCCAGCCAGTCTTTAAGCTCCAGCTACACAGGCTATACTTTCACCACCAGCTCTTTTCAATTTGTGTAAAAGTAATTTGAAAAATGATGATTTTTACTTATATATTAAGATGGAACACGAAGAAGTTAAACAACAATTAGAAAACAGGTTTTATATATCAACAACCATTCCAAATATTCAGAAAAGACATTTTTTATCCTAATTCCAGAAAAGGGACTATTAATTAAAACCTATTTAACATGTCCTAAAAGGACTCTCCTTCCGAAACAAAGTAAAAAATTATAAGATTAACTTATTATAAAAATGCGTTTGCCACCTTGATTTACTACCCTACAAACTCTTGAGAACAACTTTAATAATAAGAAAACATGTTACAATAGAAAACTGTTATAATAATAATTGAAAAATTTAACATCTATGTCATCAAATACTCAAATTTTAAATACCAAGCTTCTTTTTCAATAACCTTTTAAATTGTACCTACATTTTCAATAATGGATCTCTGCTAAAGTATTTTCATATCCATAGATCAAATTTGTAATCATCGATACTGAAAATATTCGAATGTATAATTTCATGATCTTATCAGAAATACTTAAATTTTCGTCCAAAATATTCAATTTTATAATTTTTAGGGTTCCGTACACCTACGGTGTATCGGCGGAACCCTATTGGTGAGACTCTGTTGTCCGTAGCCAAATCGTGTCCCCCCCCTAGCGGCTAAACTATTTGACCTAAAGAGCTCAGATTTGGTCCAGATATGTATTTTCACTCGTAGATTACAGGAAAAATATAGCGAATGTGATTGGACGTGATAGGCATAGCGTTGTCAAGGAAATAACAAGATTTTTGGCCAAAAATGCATAAAAAGTGACCATTCCCCCCCCTTAACTTCTAAACTATTCGACATGGAGAGCTGAAATTTTGCATGCTGGTGTATTTTTACTCGAATATTACAGGAAAAATATAGAGAACTTGATATGTAATGATGGCCATAGCGTTGTCAAGGAAAAACTAAAAAATTTAAAAAAAAAAAATTTTTTTTCCTAACTTTTACATTATTTGACCTAATGAGCTGAAAATTAGTATCCTAGTGTATTATTACAGTCTGACGACAAAAAATTTATTTAAGAAACTTTTTGAAAAAAAATCAAAAAAAAATTTTTTTTAATTTTCTTTTTCAAAAAAAAAAATTTTTTTAATTTTTTTTAGTTTAAACACGTGGCATTAAATATTTTAAGGAAGAGAGTGAAATTTTAAGAGAATAAATGAGAGATTGTTTTCTGACTTTAATTTCTTAACTAAAAATAAAAAAAAATTGGACAAGTGCGAGTTGTACTCGCACTGCAATGGCGGGTTCCGTACACAAATATTAAAACAATACTTGCAACATTGATCGGTAATTGGTAGAATTAAAATAAACAATTATAAAAATATATTAAAATCATTTGATAAAAAAAATAACTAAAAAAAATTAAAGTATTGTATATCTAATATTGTAAACAATAATAAGCAGAGGAACTATAATAAATTTTGAAAATTTTGTTCCTCTGCTTATTATTGTTTACAATATTAGATACATACAATACTTTAATTTTTTTTAGTTATTTTTTTTTATCAAATGATTTTAATATAATTTTTATAATTGTTTATTTTAATTCTACCAATTACCGATCAATGTTGCAAGTATTGTTTTAATATTTGTGTGCGGAACCCGCCATTGCAGTGCGAGTACAACTCGCACTTGTCCAATTTTTTAATTTTAAAACTTGAAAATTTTGGAAATTTTTTTTTGGTCATAATATAAAATTAAACTACGTATTTTTAACAATATCGCCTGTTAATTTTATTAAAATCGATCAAAAAGTTTCAGAGATATTAATTTTTGAAAAAAACGCAACACTCATTTTCAATATGGCGTAGCGGCCGCCATTTTGTAAATTTTTCAAAATCCTTTTAGGGTTAAATTTAACTCATATAAGACTTCTATTTCCCAAGCTTACAAAGAAATCGGAAGACCACTTGCAAATCGCTTTTTCTCTGACGGAGTCTTACCCTTGTATATTGCAATTTAAGTGCTAGTGTATAAATTATTATTCCCTGAATTATAAAAAGAATCTATTAAACTGACTGAAGTATTTTTGGGTTGAAAAATGTGCTTCAAGCTTTGATGTTCAGTAAATCATACAATTTTAAAAATGATTAAAAAATTATTTTTTCTAAAATGTTGTCTTATATAAAACTACATTTAAGTAGTTATTTACTACATTTAACTACATTTTAGTTTTAAGAAATTGAAAAATCTACTACAACTTTAATTTTTTAATGAAATTTAACCCTATTAGGAAATTAAAGTATTTCAGAATGTTATATATATTTTAAAAATAGCTAATCTACTGAGAATTCACAGGTGCATAATTCTCTTATTTTTCTATACAATTGCTTTGAAGTCGTTAAAAAAACTTTACTAATGTCCTGAGAAACTTTTTCTAAAGTAATTATAGATTACTAATATGTTTTAGATTTTAAGTTAGAATTGAAGTTATTAGACCTAAACATTTTTTATAGCTCTCCTTCTTACAGAACAAGAAAATGGAAACCAAATCAGAATTGTGTACGTTCCAAGCCATTTGCATCATATGCTTTTTGAACTTTTTAAAAACAGCATGAGAGCTGTTATGGAGCACCATGAATCTGAAGTATCTGAATATCCTCCGATTAAAGTTACTGTTGTAAGAGGAAAAGAAGATATTTGTGTGAAGGTACATTTATATAATAATAGTAGTTGTTATTTTGTTTATTAAAGTGGCTATATATTTAAAGATTTAAAAAATGACAAAACCAAAGAGTGTAAAATGGAAATATTTTAAAAGCAATGAATACAAAAACAATTAAATTCTTCTGTAAATTTTGTTAACAAGAATATGCCACAAATGCTATATATTAAAGGTACTTGCACAGCTCTACTGACTGCAGGTTGTCATGGTAACACATAAGAGTAAGAGAGTCAGAAAATTCAAATTAAATGGTTTTTCTCTCTTACTCTCGCAGTAGAGCTGACAGAAAGCCTTGATTCACAAATAATTTTAAAATATTTATTTAAAAAATTTTTAAATTCATTGTATATAATGTTAAATATAATCCTTATTCTTTATTTATATATATTTAAAAGTATCTAAACTTTTATTCATACTAAGTTACGCATATTTTATAAACCTTATAAATGTAAATGACATTAAATGTATAACTTAAAAAATATGTGGTTTTACTTTTTTTTATTTACATATATAACTTAAAGAATTCTTTTAGATAAAAGTAATCATCGCAATTGTGCTGAAATATATGTATTTATATTAATAAAAATAATAAATATACATTATTTAAATAAATAAACTTAAATTCTCAATATTCTCTTAAATTCTCTTAAAAAAATTAAATTACCGTAATTTCCTAAGGGAAATTACCCCAACTTAAATTCTCGAGAATTTAAGAACACTACAAGGGGACCACCAGACGTGGTGTTTAAAAAAGTAATACTTCGCTAAAATGTAGTATATGACCTACAGTTTCAGAGAAAAACGCTGTTGAAATTTTTCACATGATGGACACTTAGTGATCGTAGTGCTCAAGGTAGCTTCCCACTCGTTGTGACGTAAGTCTGAGTCAACCGATCATCTTTAGTTGGTCCTTTCTTGAGAACTAGCGATTCCGCTCTTTTCGTAATTAAAGCAATTTGTAAGTCCCAACTGATTATTATACAGTCGAGGAGGAATAAGGGCTGTTGTATGTCCTTCGGATTGAGCATCCTGAGAACTCCTAGCTTTCAGGACGGGTCATCTTCACAATTAGAATATTCCGAAATAGACAGTAAGTTTTCAGTTGACTTTGACTTCACCATCGGATGGTTCACATTCTGAATCCGCTTCCTTTAAATATTTTCCGCCATCATCTCCTCCGTTTCCTGCTTACGCTGTTGTAGTTCCCTCATAAACCTAAATATTTCGTCAAAATCCTTTTTTTTATCCTCCTGGCTCATCTTATCTGTTTCCTTAAAACAAACCCTACTTGTTACGCAAATTAGTTACATAATATTTTCGTAATGCCTTTACAGACCTTTCGACCATTTCAACCGTCTACGAACTCAAAAATCTTTCAATCTTGGCTGGTCCCACATTATTTATTAGCTAATTTAGCTGAGTAACTTTGAGATTTATTGTTTATTTTTGTTATACATTTAATATATAAAATGCGTTTATTAAAATCGACAGTTTACAAAAGATACTTTAATTACACAAGCTCAACTTTACTCAAACAACAATTACACACTTTTCGTTAATTAAAAGACAACGTGCAAATACGCACCCGAACTTAACGTTCCCGGCCCCAAGACCGTTCTAATGCCCAAGCGGCAACAACGAGCAACGCTCCCGGCGCTCCCCCACGATATTCAAATATCTCATTAAAATCTCTATCATTTTTTTATTTGGATAATACACCTCCAAACCCTCTCTTAATTCTACTGTCGGAAATTTATCTGAATTGGCAGAGGCAAGACGTTTCTCATTGTAACTATTTAGTTGAGTCTCAATCTTATGTCTAAATTCATCGATTATTCTTATTCTTTCCATACAAAAGGAGAGTGTGTCATCCACAGTCTCATTCAATTCATTTTCGGAAGACAAAACAGTCCGTTTCACTTTAGCTTCCTTCCCATGATTAATAAAGAAAAAGGTGACTTTAGTTCCCGTGTGTTCGATATTATATGCCAACTGAATTTTTGGCAGATATTCGTCCTATTATTTGTGATCGTGTTTTAAAAAGGCGGTTATTGTTGGTTTAACGGTTCGGAATATCCAATATTCGCATGATTGCTTTACCGTTTCTAGTTCGTACTGGGAACAATTCGAGGTACTTAGTATGCAGTATATCAATCGACAGCTGAGCTCAAGGCGATTGGGTTGCAAGTTTAACTTTCAAAGGGTTCTGATTATATTTAATCCTAACGCAAGTCTCGTAATTGTCGACGTAATCTTTTATATCTCTTATATCTTTTATATCATTCCTGGTCAATAAAAATTCTGTCTAATACGATCTAATGTTTTATCCTTGCCTAGATGACCTGTCTGAGGGATATCGTGATTTTTTTTTGTACCAATGTTCGTCATAAATTGTATTTGTGAATCTTAGTTTGCATCGCTTCCTCAATGACCTTTTCCCTTTCGTGTGGGTCAACATCAATGTTTTGCATACGAGAAAAAGTATCAGGCCTATTATATCTATTACAAAACCCGTGGCTCCTATCGATTTAACGACTGATTTATCTCCCAACCATACTCGTCTCCTTGACGAATCGTCCTCTTGCAATTGGAATTGTTTTACCTTATTATATGCCGAACCGCTTAAAAACGATCTTTTGCTTCCGCTATTTATTATTCTCGATAATTTTTTACTAGAAATCTCTATTTGGATACAGATTCCAGTCGTAAGTCTCGGTTCCCTTAATTCCCCATACGAGCGAAAGAGAAGCAAGCGCAAGGCGCCTACATCTAAGGGTTTTATGAAGGAGGTTCTATCGCTTGATGCAGCTAGTCAAAACAGTGAGCAATATTTAATGATTTGATTTACTTGGTAACGTAAAACGTTTTTTTTAGTAACTCCGAATTATTTCCAACCGATGATGAAAATTATCATTTAAATTTCGGAATCAATTTTAATGTGTATAGTTGATGCAACGTTGCTAAACGTTATAAATGTTAAACCACGGACGCACACCAGAGTCTCGATATAAGGGTTTTGGCTCTTGGTCATAAAACCCTAAAAAACATCATGTCTGGTGGTCCTCTTGTTAGAAGAGGTTTTCTAAAGTTTCTCTATCATCTGTCCAGAAAACCCATCAGACGAGTGGTCTGGGCAAATGCGAGTCCTGCAAATTTCAAGTCGTTCTGTAAATGGAAAAAATTAGTCTTAAGTTATTGTATATAATTGTATGCAGTTATGTAAACAAAATATGTAAAACAATTGTATAGCTAGTAAAGGTTTAGACAAGTGCATAAATAAATAAGCGATAAATTTTGAAAACTTGTTTTAGGTATCTGATCGAGGTGGAGGTATTCCTCGCTCTCAAACGGAACATTTATTTAAATACATGTACAGTACTGCTCCTCAACCAAGTCCTTCTGAAAATCATACTGTTCCTCTTGCTGGATACGGCTACGGGCTTCCATTATCGAGATTGTATGCTAGATATTTTCATGGTGATTTGATTCTTTTAAGCTGCGAAGGATATGGAACAGACGCTGTTATTTATTTAAAGGTAAATTCATTTTTGGCATAAAAGAGATCATTTTGAATTACTCAAAAATACCTGCAAAGGATTTGAAGCTTTTAAAAAATGCCTAATAATAAAAAACCAAATTGTCATTTTCTAAATTAACATTTAACTTGTAAATCGTCATTTAACTCTTTGCGGCATAGTGACACTCCTGAGTGTCACCTTTTTTTCTCCACTTTTTTTGCATTATTCAAGCACTATTTCATTTATTTCAATGACAAAAAGCATACTACATGTATCAGGGAACATTCTTTACTATAACAAAAAAGAAAAAAAATATTTTTTGTTGATAAAATAATTGTTATAAAGAAATAAACTTTAAAAAAGCAGTTTTTTTTTACAATAAATGTAATTGTGTCTAACCAACAATATGAAATAATTTGAGGATCATGTCTAGACAGTTTATGGGGTCACTGATTACGAATTTAGGGTAAATTTTTAAAAATTCAAAATGGCGGATCCAATATGGCAGACTTATTGTTTTTAAATTGGTTAAATTCACTTGAAATTTGTTACTCGGGGGTTTCTGGGGTCGCTGATTACAAATATGAAGTCATATTTTCAAAATTTGAAATTTATATATTATATTATTATATACTATATATATAAATATAATATATATAATATATAAATTTCGAATTTTGAAAGTCCGCCATATTGGATTCGCCATTTTGAATTTTGAAAATGTGAGAAATCCGACTTCAGAATCTTAATCAGCGACCCTGAAAACCCCCTAAAGTGTACTTGGTTATTAAATTCATTGATTAGAAAAATGTTTGCTTCAAAGGGTTAACTAAATTCACTTAAAAAGGAATTATCATTTGATTAATTTTTCTTCTTGTTTACTAGTAACCTTGTGGTTTTATCGTAACAGAGAATGTGCGAAAAATTGTAAGATAAAGAGTCGCTGTATATTATCAGACAATTGCTTTTTAAAATTTTAAAAGAGTAATTACAAATGATGTAAATTACTAGACGGTCAATGACGACACCCATTGTATGCCAATTGGTTTCTTTTTATTTATGGCTCTTTTTCATACCAGAATTATATCGATAAATTCAACTTCAAATAGATATTATTTTTAATCGTTTTTGAAATTATAGTTTCAGAAATTTTAGCAAAATTTAAATTATTTTCAAAAATTTTCCTCAATTCAATGATTATCAATATCTACTATTTTAATAAAATTTTTCAAAAGAATTCAATAAACAAATTTTGATAAAATTCTACGCAAACATTTATATATTTTTTCATACATAATAAAAATATAAGAGGAGTTCAATTATTTACAAATTTGTTAAAAAATTTCTTCGTAATAATTCCATCATTTTCATAAACAATAAAATTTTTTAGAGAGATTCAATTATTTTCGTAAATAATGAAATTCACTTTAAGAATTCAATTATTTTCATAAATAATAATACTCATTGAATTCAATTTTTAGAAACATTTAATTAATCAATAAATTATTTATTTTTGTATTTAATTAATTGTAAAATCAAGAATTAAATAATTAAATTCTCGTAGAATTGTGTAATAAAAATTAATTTAAAAATGAATGTTGGTAAACAAATTTTATTAATAATTGGTATTGCAGCGTGAATTTTTAGAAATAATTGAATTTTGAAAAGGTTTCAAATTAAAATAATTGAAAATCTGAATTTTTCATACTTTTAACTAAGAATTGTGTAGAATTAATTTTATTGAAAAAGTTTAATTGGATTTTTTTTTTTAAATTATTTTAAGTTAGAAATTGTAGAAAATAATAATTGAATGAAAGTGATGAAAATATTTTTGAAGAAGTTAAAGTAATAATATTTTTATAATATAAAATAATTATTTTATCACTCGGTCTCTCTAATTATTATAAAACATGAAGAAATCGATCACTCCGAGTTCACAAACTGATTCTTTTATTTTGGGAAAAAACCTTACATATTCCCGTATCTTACAATTTTTTTGTAGAAAATTTTCAGTTTTCATATTCAATTATTATTTAAAATTTAAACTAAATTTACAAGTTTTGTATTAGAATTCGTGGCAATTTCATAGCTTATAAGGCAAACAAAAAAGACACAAAAACCAATATTCCAGTTCATATTTTATTTTCATAAAAATAAATTTGAATTAAAAATTTGTACGTTCTATTATTTTTGAAATTTCTAATTAAAAAATTAAGAAAAAAGTTAGCCGCGCGCGAATTATTGACCGTATAAAAATATAATCTATCAAAAACAAAAGTTTAAGTATAAATGACTGACATCGACCTTAAATAATTATTTTTAAAAATTATTTTACATGAATCAGATAATTAATCTCTTTTTATATATTTTTTAGGCATTATCCAACGAGGCGAATGAACTTTTGCCTATATTTAACAAGACGTCCTGCAAATTTTATAGAACCCCGGTGTCCACTGCGGATTGGAGCAGTCAATGTGGCGGAAGTATGGCCACAAGACAATTAAATTTAAGTCAAAATCAAGGACACAGACTTCCTCAAGGAATACAAGTCGGCCAATGCTAGCAGGAATATTTTGAAATAGATGAGGGGTTTAAACTCTTCAAATAACTGTTTTGAGACTCTTCACAAATGAAATGGCTATGAAATTATTATTTTATTTTTATCGCTGCCTGAGTAATATTTTATTCAGTAATGAAAACGGTTAATAAAATTATATTTCAAAAGTTATCAATTCATGTGCTCTTTTATGTATGAAGCTTTAAGTGTGTATTCTAAATTACACCATGCAGAATATTAATTCACCTTAAATGTAATTTTTTTTTAGTAAAAAAAAAACTTAAAATAACAGCGCAATGGTTACAAAATTATTTTATTAAACTTATTTTAAGTATTTTATGGAAGCTTCTTTAATTTTTAATAAAACCGACCTAACACCTGTAACATGAAAAATGAATTCCACTAAAAAAAACAACTGTGATTTGATAAGTAATGTTATTTTAGCTAATAGTCAAATATTTTTGTTATTATTATAAGACACAATGCGCCTGTTTAGACGACGTGGAAATCTACATTTTTATGTAGGCAACATAATTAATTGGTTTGTAAAGATATGTAAACTCCGTCTAAAATTATGAATCATGATGTGTTATGTTACATTTTATATGATGTAACATAATATTGCAAGAATTAGTACAATTCATATCTTTGTACCATTTTTAACTTAGGAAAATGAAGTTTTCTTAAAATTGGATGTTTTAAAAATCAAATTGTATTTCCTACTTTTGGTATAATGTATATTAGTCTAGTTTTTTTAAGTATATATATATATATATATATATATATATATATATATATATATATATATATTATCAGTCTATGTAGCATATAAATAGTAATTTTTTTCTTTTTATCAAACTGGAACAATTTCAAAAGAATAGATAAAAATTAAGCCCACATAGCTCATCATCTAGACACAATTTTGTACCAATGTTTCTGTAACGTTAATTAAATCTGAAAACCTAAAATGAAGCAATATGTTGGCTACATGTTGTGCTACTTAGACAGTTTCTAAAACAATAATGAAATGCGTTGTCTTATGTAACTAATAATTCTGTTTAATTAAATGTTTTTTTGTCAAATTTTTAAAATAAATATATATGTTATATATAATGGCTCATGAGCCTATTTCATGACTATTTTGATGTATAAGAAATAGGTTCACTGAAAATAAAATCTCATTTATTAATTAAAACTTTGTAAAAATAAAATTTTATTTTATACCAATGAATGATAAATATTATTTTCACAAAATACTGCAAAAATTCGTGTCTCTATGAACGATGATTCATGATGTTGTCACCTTTAGAACTATTTGAAACTTTACAGACTTCGCACTTGATAATTAATTTTTAAAAAGGATCAAAAAGTAGCTTTCCATCCAAAAAAGTAGTAAAAAAGTAGCTATCGAAAAATTAAAACTTAACGACCAAAAAAACTCATTTTAGAATCTTCACAAAACTGACAAAAATTCCATTCTTTATTTTAATTTCCTGACTTTTTCCTAATTTTCATGAAAAATATTTACTTCTTTCTTATCCTACTAATAAATTGAATTCCTGCAACGAATTTTATTATTCATCAAAGAATTTAAATATTTATAAAAATAATTTAATTCTTGCGAAGAATTTCATAAAAAGTTTTAAATAATTGATTTCTTTCAAATAATTTTAGGCAAATTCTAATTTATATAATTGAGTTTCTGAAAAATTCAATTTAAACACTTGTAACGCTAGTATTAAGGCAAAAAGACGAGTGTATAAATAAATGGGACGCATGAATCTTCCACAAATCCCATTTGACCTAATAACAAGTAACCGAAATTCACTTCGCCGAATCACCAGTTGCCATATAAGATGTATGTATTAGAATTATTATTTAATCTAATTTTCATTTTCCCGATGATTCATTTGCTCTAATTTTTATTCTGCAGATATATTCTTTAACAGAGATTTCGTTAGTCCGAAAAAACATTTGACCTAATTTTCATTTGTCCAGTTAATTGTTTGGACTAATTTTCGATTTTCCAATATTTCATCTGTTATAATTCCTATTTTTCTAAATCATTAATTAAAATTTGTTTTTTTATTCGAAATGTTTTTTAACCTAAATATCAATTGCTCTAAATGTAATGAGTTATAAATTTCATTTAATCGAAATGTCATTCGTTATAATTACCATTGTCTCGAATAATTATTTACCAGTATTTACTTTCTACAGAATTGTCATATAAACTATATCCTATTTGCTCTAATGTTTATTTAACAGAAATTTACTTACCTCGAAGTAGCATTCAGCCGAATGTTTATTTATCAGAAAGATTATTTATCATAACTTTTGTTTAGCCGAAACATTATTTCACCTAATTTTAAATTGTTATATTAATTGTTTGACATAAATCTATTTCTACCTTATGTTTATGTGACATATTGTTCTTTTATTCGAATTGTCAAATCGTCGAATGCTCAGAACATCTAATTGTCAGTTCGTCGAATGCTCAAAACGTCGAAATGTCTATTCGTCGAATCATCAAAACGTCGAATTGACAAAAATTCGAAAAATTTGTTTGATCCGATTATTTTTAACTTCCTTTAGAAGTTATGGAGGGTGGAAGAAAAATAAAAAAACTCATTTTTTGCAGAAAGTACTTAACCGATTTGAATGGAATTAAAATATATTATGAATATAGATAAGACAATTTACAAAAACAAAATTTTTAATTTTTTTCCAAAAAAAATTTAAAAGAAATTAATTCTGAAAATTTTCAACAAAATTTTTTTGATTTTTTTAATGATACACCTCCAATTTTTCTTTTAAAAAATACCTTAGAGTTTCCTCTTTAATATAAATTTTTTCCAGATTGTTAAAAAATGTAGTCTTTTCAAAAATTGACTTTTTTGAAAAAAAACTTGAAAAAGTCATTTTTTTCGGAAACTACTTAAAAGATTTTTTTGGAAATTTTAAATTAATTAGGGTAACGTAGTTTAGAATTATTTTTTTAAATTTTAAAATATTTTTATAAACTGTCTTATTTATGTTTATATCACATTTAAATTTCTTTTAAATAGGAAAAGTAGTTTCTGGACAAATGAGTTTTTTTCAAAAAAGTAATCTCTTGAAAGAACTACATTTTTCAAAAATCTGCAAAAAATATATATTAAAAAGGAAACTCTAAGGAATTTTTAAAAACAAAAATTAGAGGTAAAACTTTAATACAAAGTAAAAAAAAATTTTTTTTAAAATTTTCAAATTAACTTTTTTTTCAATTTTGAAATATTTTTTGTAAATTGTACTATTTATTGGACCAGAGATGATTCTATCACTCAGAGTGATTGTTAAATCACACCATTTATTGTCTTATTTATGTTTAAAATATATTTAAATTCCATTTAAATCGGTTAAGTGCTTTTCGAAAAAAATGAGTTTTTTTACTTTTCTTCCCCCTACATAACTCCTAAAGGAAGTTTAAAAAAATCAGCCCAATACACGATTTTGATTTAGGTTAAAATCAATTCTGCAGGTGGTGTGGAAGCTTCTTATGCAAAAATTGGATAGTGCATGTGTCAAAAGTATTTAAAATCTTTTAAGACCACCGTGCCCTTTAATAGCGTCAAATAATTATAATTATTTAGTCCAAATATCAAATTTATTTTTATTAAAACAAAGCAGTTTTTTGGATTCAAATAAATATCAATTTGCATTAAGTAAATGAATCATTTTCCATTTTCACTGTACGCAAAAGAATAATAAAAATAATATAAATTCAAATTTTGTACTATCGATTAAATAAAAATCGATCTAATTTGGAAATTATATATTCGATATGTTTACAATTATTATAAATTACAAGTGCAAAAATTTTAAGATTTTTATATACTATTCTTACCTATTATTTTTTAAAATTATTAAATAAATATTCCCCAAATGACATTAGACCGAACTGCATTTAGCATAATGTTTATTTTTACGAAATGTCAATTAATCGAACAGTATTTAATTTATTTAAACTCGTTTTGAACCCGAAGGTTTATACAAGCGGAGCCTCATAACAGAGAGTCTAAAAATATTTACAACGAATACAGAGTTAATGACAATTACAGAGTTCTACTGATACGCTCTCTCAAAATTTTAACTATCAATTGTACAAATCTTTTTATTATAATAACATTTTCTGAAGACATAATATTGAGCCAAGCTTGAAATGAATCTGCAACATTCATCACTTCCGAAAAATAAAATTTACAAATATGCACACAAGCAGGACAATCAATTAACAAATGGAACAAAGAGTCATAATCTGTTTTACAAAATGCACAAACACAATTCTTTTTAAAGCAGTACACAAAATTCTCAGCTATAATTCGACAAAAGTCAGTTTTTAAAAAATCAAAATAGTGGATCCATAAATCCATATGGCGGACATAAAAAGTTACAAAGTTGGAAACACCCTCCTCTTTTTTAATAGGGGCTTGGGACCGGCAATGGCAGAGTTTCATCTCTTTTCTTTTAATTTTTTTTGTTTTTTTAAAATGTTTTAAATGTTTTTTTAAAATTTTTAAATACTTTTATTAATTTTGTTTTCTTTAAATATTTTTATATTTGTCGTAACAAACGACAAAAGACAAGTGACGAACCATAAAAGACGAATGACAAAAAAACAAAAGAAAATCAAGAGAAAAAAAGGGCAAATGTCAAACGACAAAAAACAGTATTATTCTCCTATTTTTAATAATATTATTGTAACAGTCGTAACATTAGATTCGCCATTTAAAAATTTTGTAAGAATGATTCGATATTTGTATTTACACACCCCGCAAACTTTCAAGAAGCAGCATTCAGTCCTATATTGTCAATTTTTAATTTTTGACTATCATATTGTATCCATTATTTTAAAGTTAGAGAAACTGACTTCAGATTCGTAATAAGTGACCTAGAAAAACCTAAGCGGTAATTTTCAAACAAATTTGATGGATTTTTTATTTCTTCGTCCAACATATTGAATCCTCCATTTTTAATTTTAATAAACTGACTTCAGATTCAGCATCAGCGACTTTAAAAACCTCCGAATGCCAACTTTTAATCAAATTTGTTTCATTTTTAAATTTTGTCTGACATATTGGATCCGCCATTTTGAATTTTGACAAACTGACTCCAGATTTGAAATGAGCGACCCCAAAAACCACCGAAAGACTACTTTCATGTAAATTTGATTAATTTTTTAATCTATCGTCCGCCATATTGAATCCGCCATTCTAAATTTTGAAAAACTGACTTCATATTCGTAATCAGCGACCCCAATAACCCCTAAGAGCCAATTTTCAAGCAAATTTGTTTCATTTTTAAATTTTATTTGCCATATTGGATCCGCCATTTTGAATTTTGAAAAACTGACTCCAGATTTGTAATCAGCGACCCCAAAAACTCCCGAGTGACAACTTTCAAGTAAATTTGTTTAATTTTTAATTTTTGTCCGCCATATTGGATCCGCCATTTTGAATTTTAAAAAATTTTATTTTCGCAAATTTGCAAAATTTAAAATAATTATTTGTATTTGAAAGTACTAGTATCCAGTAATATTTTTACGGAGTATTTCAAAAATATTTAAATTATTTATATTTTTTATTGTTAATTAAAAATGCACTGGGCCGCGTGTCACTTGGCGCGGCGTGAGGCGAGGCACCCGCGACGCAATTTATTCTTTAAAATTTAATAACTCAAAAACAAAAAAAAGGGCATTATGCAAATTTATATGCCGATAGGAAAAAACCTCAGCCTTCGTTTGCAATAATTTATTTTCAAATAAAACGGACCGACTTTTGGGAAATTAAAAATTAAATATTAATTATAAAAAATTAGTGTAAATTTTTAAAATATTAAAAAATAAAATTCACCATTGGAAGTTATTCTTAAACAAAATGGTTCATACAATTCAATGTTTAGTTTAAAATTTATTAAATGACAATTCGCAACAGTGACATTTTGCAAAAGTGCCAATTCGTAAAAATGTCGATTCACAAAAGTGATATTTCGTAAAAATGCGCCTCAAAATAACTTAGAAAAGTTACATCCAAAAGTCTGTTTTCATAAATGATACTGTCACTGCTAAAGTAACTCTTCCCTATCGAAAATTCTCACATCGGAACCCATATAGAAATCAATATATAAAACTGCAATGGTAACAATATGATAAATAATAATTGATATTATATTGGAAATTATATTGGAAA